GATCTACTTAAGTACGGCTAGCCCAAGGAGTTTAGAACTACTTTTAATCTCCTTGGGCTAGCCACTTCGTTTGTGAAATCAATATAACCAACCATTCCCTTAAAGCCTGCAGAAATTGATGTGCAGATGCTCTTACTATCGATTTCATCGTTATGCAAACTTCAGTTGAAAAGCAAAATAAGCTATAAAATCTAGCAGCGTTTTACTGATCACTCTGAAGCCTACCTTCTCGTATTCAATTTAAAGTATAGATCTCCAAACCGCCAAAAGATCGAGGCCAATGGCAATGTAAATTAATGGCACGTTACAACAATGCTGGTAGTACATACCTGTGTGATTGATGCCACTAATGTTTTTGGTTTTCCAAATGCCAGCTTGCCCATGTCGTTCTAAATTCTAAAGCGGAGAAAGAATGGAGATCTCCGTCAAAGATTTTCTAGGCTAGCCTACCTTTGATTCCCTTGATCGCTTATAAACCATAAGCCTATACGCCTATCCCACAGAATTCTACACTAAGTGTAGAATTTTGTGGCCTATCCTAATAGCCTAGGCCCCTATCGGTTTCAGATCTGGCACTTGATGACTCGATAATGATAATGGTTCAAAGGCATGTGGTTATATTATGGGTAAATGAACTTAATTATTTCAATGCACATTATTTTAATCTTTTAATTTTGTCTCATCTCGGAGCGGAATGTACGTGTTTGAGGTGTTTAATTCGGTAGTAAAGTACATTAAGATAGGCCTATGTGTAGATTTGACCTCCTCTGAATTCAATCTGGCAATCACAAGCCAAAACAGAGTTTACAAAAAAGTTATTGCTATTCGTTAATTAAACACCCCAAAACCTACACACGCAGACAATGCAAGATGGGCCCAATACTTTCATTACCCTTTCATGATACATGTACCGGCAGTAACAATTGGTAGTGTGTGTGTGTGTGGGGGGGGGGGGGGGGGGGGGAGAGAGAAGTCATTCATTTGGCAAGAAACTTTCAAAAATCTGGTAGCCCTGCAGGCAGATAGATAGTCAGTAGTCAGGTAGGCCTAAGCCAAGCAGGCCTGGCCTACTTTTGTACTAGCCTAGTTTCACATTCATTCAGAGCATCGGTCACTCAGCCAGCGGGCCCTTCCGATGGCCTTTAGGCCTAAATATTTCCATAATTCGATCCCCATCATTCAGTCAGTGTCAGAGCCCAATCTTTGCAGTTATGAACAGGCCTAGGCCTAGATCTAGTTAGGTAAGCCCCTAGTTGCATTGTTTCAGTTTCAGCCGGCTTCTTTGTTGTGGCTTCTTCACCTTCAGTTCAGTCTTCACTTTCACGTGCACTGTGACTCGACTGCGGCTGCGGTCTGAAACAGACGTCGTTGTTATGCTCATATGGCGCCTTTGCCAAATGCTCGTCGTACTTTAGGCCATTTGTAGCCTAACTAGATCTAGATCTAGCCACAATCTAGACCTAGATCGAGATGTAAAAGTAGGCGGGCGAGGCGATTAGAAGGCTACGGCGAGGCTGCCAAGCAAGGGTAAGTTTTTCAGGAACGAAATGTATGTCAGACCCGGTAACCGGGAACAAAGTCACGAAGTATACAGACCCGATAGGGGAAGTCTTTTGTGATTTCGGAAAATTTCAGCGCCCAGACCCCGTAGTGTGTGTGTGTGTGTAAGAGAGAGAGGAGAGAGAGAGCAGGGGGGAGTGATCTGCTAGCAAAATATATGCCCCAGTTGGCAGGAGGGAACGAGAGAAAGGGTGGGAAATAGGTGGGGAGAAAGAAAGACAGAGACAAACAAAGAAAAAGAGAATCCGAGCGATACACAGCGACAGAGGAGAGAGAGACAGACAGACAAAGAGAGAGAGTGAGAGAGAGAGAGAGAAATTGAGAGGGTGACAGCTCGATTGAAATTATGACATTGTTCTTTTCTTCAAATCGTGATTCCTCCCTAACCAAAACGGAGCAAAAACGATGGTTCATCGAAAAGACATCCGCAATCTTCATTTAGATTTAGATCTAGGTTAGCCTCGAAACTAGATCAATGATTTATCTGTCTGTCTAGATCTAGACTTAGGCCATAGATCTAACAGTACCTAGTTCTACCCTGAGCCAAGAGGGCGCTGAAACTTTCCGAAATCACAAAAGAGCTACCCTACCGGGTCTGTATACTTTGTGACTTTGTTCCCGGTTACCGGGTCTGTATACACTCCCTTTCAGGAAAGTAAGGCCGGCGATTATGTAGATTTCCGCGTTAAATTCCGATACTACACGGGACATCTGACAAACTCTTTTATTCATATTTACAAGAATATATGTGGAGGCCACCTCTATTCTCACCCGGGGTGAGAATAGTGCAGGCGAGTCTTTTGGCTATTCTCACCCGGTGCGCGTTCACCGTTATAGCCTAGATCTAGGCCAATAAATTTTGCGTTCACCCTAAACCACAGAATTCTGCACTGTGATAACAGAAAAATTGTAGAATTCTGTGCCGTGAACAAACATTCCATTACAACTGTAGCCTACTAAAAGTGTACAATTTTGTCTGTGGGCAGTGGAGAGAGAGAGAGAGAGAGAGAGGAGTAGCGCGAGAACTTCCGGTCAAAAGAAAATGGCGTAGTTCAGCTTGATTCGAAAAGTTTAATAGCCGTAGCATCTTTGTAGACTAGAGTAGGCCCGCATCACCGCGCTACTGTTTTGGTGCGCAACCCCCGGTCTCCTGCTTTGTTTTGGATAAGAACAGCGAAAACGAGGTCATTTTCTGTGAGCATGCGCAGAATGCAGCTTATTTCACTTTCGTTTTGGAGGTTCCTGTCAACACACGTGATTCTACGGTGTCGGAAAGTTTTGCCCCTTCATATTAATGGTTTTCGTAACCGGTATCGATCAATTTACTAAGACTAAGCGCTTGAGTAGTCGATTATTTAGCACATCTAGCTAATCTAGCTCTAATGTATCGTAGAATGTATACTAGAATCGATAAATACTATCGCAGGCTGCTTCTTAATGCCCAGGAACGTGTTAGATAGGGTTGCGCACTGAAGAGGACCAAATTTGGGCAGTCCGTTTCGTGCGCAATATCGGCTTTTTTGCTATTTGGCATTGATAGTGTGGCTTCTATAGGCCCTTTGTTTGTTTTACTTATTAAGTTATTTCTCTATGACCTGCATTGTGCACTGAAACAGACTGTTTTCCTTCCATTTGGATGCATTATATTGCCATTGGAAGATGATAAGTTAATGTATTCATGTCAAAATTAATTAATATGGAAATATAATCTCCAAAATGTTCAATTTCTTCTTTTCATGTCTTTTTCTTCTTCTTTTTTGCCCTTTTCCTTAAAGAATACTAGTCTAGGTATAGTCTAATTCTTGTTTTCTTCTTTCACTTCCTTGTGTCCACAGCACCTTTCTTTTTCAATTTCTTCTTTTCACGTCTTTTTCTTCTTCTTTTTTGTCCTTTTCCTTCTAAAATACTAGTCTAGGTATAGTCTTATTCTTGTTTTCTTCTTTCCCCTTCTTGTGTCCACAGCACCTTTCTTTTTATCCATTATCAAAACACATACACAAGGTGTAAGGAAATCTCCTGTCAGGGGGCGCACAGCTCCCAAAAAGAACACGCCTAATTGACCTTGGCCTTCCATTATGGTCAGTACAGGAACTTCTTGCAAGGAAAAGAAGACAAAGCAAGGATAGAGAAAGATGAAAAGTGTCAGAAAAGAGCTAGATCTAGATCTAGAGCTGTAAACATGGTACTATTGCGCACCAAACAAGACGATATGTTGCACCAAACCAGAAACCTTGCGCACCAAACCAGACACACGTTACCAAACAAACACCACCACAACATATAGAAATTTTAAACTGCTGTTACAGTAATACGCTACACCGTATAGAGAGGAAGTTTTTCTAACTTCTGGTGAAAAAATCATGAAGATCGACCTGTAACTTCCAGAGATATCCACAAAAGATCGCTTACTGTATATCGCACCACAGGATGTACTCTACCAAATTAATTTACTTTTGTGTTTTAACATCATTTTTTAACTTTGTTTTGGTCATTTTGCTCGTCCACACCGATAGACAGTATTCAGAAAGAGACAGAGAGAGAGAGAGAGAGGGGAGGAGTAGATCTTGCGAGAACTTCCGGGCAAAACAAAATGGCGACCCGCGTAGTTCGGCTCGATTCGAACAGTGAAATAACCATAGCATCTTTGAAGACGATCAAATTAGCTTACTTTTGTGCTATAACGTAATTTTTTCTTGGCTTAAATTTTACTTTTATCAATTTGATCATCCAGGTATTCCGAAATTAGGAAAAACAGGTCTTGTTTCAAACCGGGTGAGAATAGCCTACGGTCCCAAGTCTCACCCGGGGTGAGAAGTCGATCGTATAATTTCTATTCTCACCCCGGATGAGAATAGCCACTTCCATATATGTGGAAGCAACAATTTAAGGAAAACATTTTTGGCAATCTGTATTGGATTTCATATTATTACTCTGTTTAACATTTTTGGCAATATTCTGTTTATTGGATTTCATTTTTGGATTGGATTACTCTGTTTAATGGTAAGACAAGTTCTAGGCCTAGGGCATACTTATAGGCCGATTAAAACTAGTATAGGAATTTAAAGCGGAAATCTACACAATCGCCGTAAGGCCACCTCTATGCCAGTCTACGGGGTGAGAATAGCGCAGACGAGCCATTTGAATTGATTGGCTATGGCATGGCACTTTTTCGGTAGTTCCCACCCCGCAACTGTTATTCGCCGGCTTTGGCCCCAAGAGTAGAATGGCTTTCCCCCCTGACCCAAAAATATGACAATAATTTGATGTTTTGAACACACAGTTTTGCAGACTTTGTTAGTTCCGTAACGAGCGACCACCCCATCAAACACCATAAAGAAGAGGCCTAACACTAACCCTACCCCTACCCCTGGCCCTCAGTTCTGCTCTGTCTCATAGTGGTCGCTTGTGGCTTGTTACGGAAGTCCTCCCGTTTGATATCTTAGGTCTTAGCCCGCACAAACATGGAACTGGGGGCTCTCGTGGCCTAGAAGTTAAGGTGTTGGCCTCTCATTCAAAGGTCCTGGGTTCGAATCCGAGTAGCGACCAAAAAATTTTCTTCTCTAAAATTGTCTCCTTTCACCTTCTTTCCTGTTCTCTAGCAATGTTCTGTTGTCTGCTTTCATTTCCACTTTCTGCCCCAACCCCTTCACCTCCTTTGCCCCCT